CTAGCAAACACAGATTGCCAAATCACGTTGAGCTATCTCCCACCTAACACCCTCCACTAACACAGTACTGAAAAACACTCTCACTTACTATTTCAGCAGAGTTGAGCTCAATCTCTTTTTTCTATTGCAATAGTCTTGAATTAAGTTTTTTTTTTCTGAATTTTACTTTAAGTTCTGGAGTACACGTGCAGACCTTGCAGGCTTGTTACATAGGTATAGACATGCCATGGTGGTTTGCTGCTTCCATCTCCCCATCACCTACATAGTATTTCACCTAATGTTATCCATCCCCAATCTCCCCACCCACTGCTATCACTCCCCTGGACTGCCAACCCCCAAGAGACCCCAGTGTGTGATGTTCCCCTCCCTGTGGCCATGTGTTTTCATTATTCAACAGCCACTTATGAGTGAGAACATGCAGTGTTTGGTTTTCTGTTCTTGTGTCAGTTTGCTGAGAATGATGGTTTTTAGATTCATCCATGTCCCTGTAAAGGACATGAACTCATCCTTTTTTGTGGATGCATAGTATTCCATGGTGCATATGTGTCACATTTTCTTTATCCAGTCTATCTTTGATGGACATTTGGGTCGGTTCCAAGTCTTTGCTATTGTAAACAGTGCCGTAATGAACATACTTGTGCATGTGTCCTTATAATAGAACAATTTATAATCCTTTGAGTGTATACCCAGTAATGAGATTTCTGGGTCAAATGGAATTTCTATTTCTAGATCCTTGAGGAATCACCACACTGTCTTCCACAATGGTTGCACTAATTTACGCTCCCACTAACAGTATAAAAGTGTTCCTATTTCTCCACATCCTCTCCAGCATCTGTTGTCTCCATATTTCTTAATGATCACCATTCTAACTGGCATGAGATAGTACCTCAATGTGGTTTTGATTTGCATTTCTCTAACGATAAGTGGTGATGAGCATTTTTTTCATATGTTTGTTGGCTGCATAGATGTCTTCTTTTGAAAAGTGCCTGTTCATATTCTTTGCTTACTTTTTGATGGAGTTGTTTTTTGCTTGTAAATTTGTTTTAGTAAGTTTTAGATTCTGGACGTTAACCCTTTGTCAGATGGGCAGCTTGCCAAAAGTTTTTCCCAATCTGTTGGTTGCTGGCTCATTCTGATGATTGTTTCTTTTGCTGTGAGGAAGCTCTTAAGTTTAATTAGATCCCATTTGTCTATTTTGGCTTTTTTATCTCACTCAAGTTCAAAGTTCCACAGATCTTTAGGGCATAGGCAAAATGTTGCCAGTCTCTTTGCTAAAGTATAATGAGTCACCTTTGCTCCGTTTCCTAACAAGTTACTCATCTCCATCTGAGACCTCCTCCACATTTTACCAAAATCGGCATTTTGGTCAAAGCCATTCAAAGTCTCTGGGACATTTTAAACTTTCCCACATCTTCCTGTCTTCTGAATCCTCGAAGTCTCTAGGAAGTTCCAAACTTTTCTCTTTTTTCTTTTCTTTTTTTGGTCTTTTTGTGAGCCCTTCAAACCGTTACCTCTGCCTGTTACCCAGTTCCAAAGTTGCTACCACATTTTTGGGTATCTTTACAGCAGCACCCCTCTCTCTATGGTACCAATTTACTGTATTGGTCCTTTCTCACACTGCTAATAAAGACATACTGAAGATTGGGTAATTTATAAAGAAAAGCTGTTTAACCGAGTCACAGTTAAAATATGTAAGAGGGGAGGCATGGCTCAGGAGGTCTCAGGAAACTTAGAATTATGGCTAAGGGGAGACAAACACATCCTTCTTCACAAGGCAGCAGCAAGGAGAAGAACAGAGTGAAGGATGGGGAGTGAGGGAACCCCCTTATAAAACCATCACATCTCATGAGACCATACTATCACAAGAAGAACATGGATATAACAGCTCCCATGATTCAATTACATCCCATCATGTCCCTTTCACAGCACGTGGGAATTATGGGAACTACAGTTTAAGATATGGTTTGATGCCCATCAATGATAGACTAGATAAGTAAAATGTGGCACATATACACCATAGACTACTATGCAGCCATAAAAAAAAATGAGTTCATGTCCTTTGC